CTGGTCTACACAGTGAGTTCCAGGACAGCTGGAGCTACAGGGAGACCCTGTCTCAAAAAGACCAAAAAAAATCACTTTATTATTAAAAAAAATTTGATAAAAAGGTCACATGTAAAGCTGGCAAGGTAACTCAGGGTAAAGGTGCTTACTGTGCGAGCCTGGTGACCTGAGTTTTATATATAGAACCCATGTCAATGTGGAAGGAGAAAACCAGCTCCAAAGTTATCCCCCAATCTCCTCATAAGCGCTGTGGTATGTATATACACAGACAAGACAGACCGTCTCTCTCATACATACATACATACATACATACATACATACATACACACACACACCTCTCTCTCTCATAATAAATATATTCAAAATGCTACATCCATTCACTGGGGCTTAACAGCTTTAAAAGAGAAACAGGATCTACCTGGCACATCCTCTATGCAGGTCAAGGGAGGCCAAGTGTATGGGGTCATGGGGCTGAGTCACGCCTGGGAGATGGATGGGGTCATCAGGATCCCACTGAGTGCATAAGACTGAACAGACAGTAGGAAAGGCCAGATGGCTCACAGTGAACCTTCTATTTCAGCAGCCCAGCTAAGATGCTGTCCAATCTGGTAATCACACCTTGTTGGACTCTTGAGAGGCCTTCTCCTGACCTGGGCTTTCTCATGTGGACATGCAGGAGGCCACACTGGCACTTACCGTGTTGGTAGACAGGGCGACAAAGTGCTTCGAGACTGTAGATGGCTACGAAAGACAGAGGTAGATTATACCAAACCCATCCCAGAGGGACAACCCAAGGCAGGATCCTCCTGTCAATAGAAAGACCCAGATTCTGCATGGGACTAACTATTCCCTCTTTGGTTCTGAGGCAGTTAGAGGAGCTCACAGAAGGTCAGAGTCAAGAAGGCAGAAGAGACAGAATGGTGGCACGTGCCTACAATCCCAGCACTCAGGAGGTGGAGGCAAGGGGATCAGGAGTTCAGGGTTATCTTCATATACGTAGTGTGTTTGAGACTACTTGGAGTACAGGAGACCCTGTCACAAAATCCAAACATAAAATCAAGGACAATAGGAAATTGTGTCTTAGGTAAACTGATTAAGATTAGCAGGACATGTGCTTCTCTCTAGGGATGTTATGGCTCTGGAGTCTTGGCTTGGGACACTGGCTACAGGTGTAGAAAGCCAGGGCTCTTGTGATATGGCTCTTGGGACAGTTCTGGGAAACTGGCTCTAAGACAGGGTCTCCCTGTAGCTTCAGCTGGCCTGGAACTCACTATGTAGACAAGGCTGGCCTGGAACTCACAGAGATCCACCTGCATCTGCCTCCCAAGTGCTGGGATTAAAGGCGTGCATGACCAGGCCTGGCTAGTGGTGTGCAGTTTGGATAAGAGACTCTCCTAAGGAACTGCTGAGACACAGATGTTTGGGCCCTGCCTCGACTTGCACAGCAGCCATCTGCAAAGCTGCTTCTGTGAAGAACTAACCACTCCTGGATTTGCGGTTTCCAAGGTCTGTTCTGGCCCTGGAACTACAGACCATGACTTAATAACAGTTACATCTGTATCTGTACAGGATTCTCCCCAACTTGTTTACCTCGTTACTGTAATGAAGTCTCTCCTACCTTTTCTGTAATAGGGAAGCAATCTGAATGTTTTTAAACATTTGAAAATATTGGTGGGCGATATATCAAAAGGCGTAGTTCAGTGAATTACCATAGAATGAAGAGACATTGCAAAGCACTCCAGGTCAGGAAATGGATTTCGCCAGCACATGGAAGGTCACCTGGCCCTCTCCCAGTCAGGATTACCCCTGTCTCCAGTTGTTTCTGAAATGACAGAGTATATTCTTCTGTGTTGCTATCATGGGAACACTGCTCCAGCTTCATTTTGTCTTTCATGCATAGATATGTGAATTTCCAACCCTCTTTCAGCAAATTTTTCTTTTTTTAACTTATTGAGACAGCGTCTTACTCCCATAGCCCTAGCTGGCTTCAAACCCTGATTCTCCTGCCTCTGCCTCCTGACTTGGATTGCTGGAGGGCACTGCCACATTTGGCTTTTCTTTTTTTTTTTTTTCTCTTGACTTTCAAATAATTTTATAACAACATGAAAAGTTAGGGAGTGATATAGCAAATTCCCATGTGTCCATTGCTCCGATATTGTTAATATGAACACTTTCCTTACCAACAGGCACTGGTCAAACCCAATGTTAACATTTGGACATTACTGCTCATTAGCCTGAGCACTATTCTAATTCTTCCATTTTCTTCTAGTATTCTTATCGTTTAGGATCCAATTTAGGAAATACATCACATACAGCTTCCCTTATAAAAAGAAAATAGTTTTAGAAATAAGGGGTGTAGGGGATCCTTGAAGTTAGGCTCCTGTGACTAGATTTTGACTAGTACTTATCACACAGGTGTT